TGCTGCCTTTTGGAATCTTCTGTTCAGCTCTTTAGTGTCTTGAATTCTTCCTTGTGCTTTGGCTTCTCTACATTCCAGTGCAATCTTCAGAGTTTCTTCTGAACATTTTGGTCTTTTCTTCCTCTTCTGTCTTTGTAATGACCGTTTGCACTCTTCCTGGATGATACATTTAACATCCTCGCACAACTCATCTGGTCTTCGCGCATTAGTGTTCAAGGCCTCAACCCTGTTCCTGAGATGGTTCTGAAATTCAGGTGGGATAGACTCAAAGTCATATTTTGGCTCCTGTGGTTTTGGTTTAATTTTCCTCAGCTTCAGCTTGAACTTGCATATGGACTCTTCTACAATCAGCTCCTGGACTAGTTTTCACAGCTGATATTGAGCTTCTCCAGAGGTTCTTTCCGCAGATGTAATAGATCTGATTCCTATGCATACACCTTAAAATCAATGGAGTCTTCAAACAAATCAAAATACTACCGTAAATTCGAGTTTTACACTATTCTTTTAAGTCTGTACATACTGTGCGGTGTGTGATTTTGCTCCGCTATCCTGCATTTTGTATTAAACATTATACTTTACTTCAATGATGGCTCTTTGAGGAATGATTTTACCTGTCTTTCCCATTGATTTAAGATGAAAGATGCTTATTTCCACCCCCCCCTAAGGATAGCCTGTTGTTCTAAACAATATTTTATTTCATTCAATTTGCTAATATTTTTTGTAATTCTTTTTTCTTTTTCATTAGTTTATTTATAAAATTCTGATACAAATTCTTTCAATTTCCCTCACTCTCCACTCATCAAATTGTACAACCCAATGATTAATCCCCTCTTCCCCCTGCACATCCACATCCTTCTGCTTCTAGCCTCTCCCACCCCTCCTGGATCCTTATACTCATTCTACAATAACAGTCTTACACAATATTTATCCTTGTAGGACTGAGTTAGTTCACTCAGTCCCTCCCAAGTAGGTAATAATTTACAAAGTTATTGCTCCTGCGTGCTACATAGTATTCCATTGTGTGAATGTACCATCATTGTGGTTGGACATTTGGACTGTTTCCATGTTCTTGCGATGGTGAATAATGTTGCTATGAACATTGGTGTACAAATCTTAGTTTGTGCCTCAGTTCTCATATTCTCAGGGTATATTCCAAGTAGTGGAATAGCTGGGTCATATGGAATTTCTATATTCAGCTTTTTGAGGAAGCTGAGCAGCTATGGTGAGCTGATATGCAACAAGGAAATCAAAACTATCAAATGGGGAAATGATAACAAAGGGTGCTCGAAAAACTGTACTTCCACCTGCAGAAAGTGGAAACAGCATCCACATCTCACACCATACACAAAAATCAACTCAAGGTGAAGAAAAACTTACATCTAGTAATGTGTGAAGATGCTGATCCTGGAAAACACTGTGTAGAAAATCTAAGTCCTTTTCACTGCAGTCTGTAAGTGCATGAATTTCTTCCAGGCTGTCCAGCACCTGTGAGACTGCTCCTAAGGTGAACCAAAAAAAAAAAAAAAAAAAAAAAAAAAAAACACAGAGATGGACTGACAAACTGATGAAGTAGCTACAA